TACAATTTATAATAATAATAATCATAATATTTTTTTCATATGATAATATGTTTCAGTTATTTGCTTGCAATATATATATATATATATATATATATATATATATATTATATTATAATGTAGGGTTGTTAAGACAACTGATACATCTAATAAAACAAGTGATAACATTTAGTTTAATTACCAGAAATATTAAAGATTAATAAATGAGTTAGAATTGATAATTTTTCTCTCTCTTTTTTTTTTTTAATACAACAAAAACACTACATCATATAAGATGTTTGGTTATAGTTGCATACCGATATTTATATATAGATAAATAAATTATAAATATATATTTATATATAAGAAAATAGTAGAAACATTTAGAAATGCGCTTTTCACGGGTGCATCTTGCACCAATGCTTTCAAATGCCACTAGGCTCCAGTTAGGGAATATTAAGACTAAAAATGGAACATTCGCTACAGCTTCAGGATCCCAGGAAAAATGGGGTTTCATTTTAGGGGGAAGGGTTTATCCAATAATAGGGTGTACGTTTTCCTGTTTTACAATTATTGTTGTAATGACAGTCGCTGGTACATATCAAGAATACCGCGATATGATATTGATGTCAGAACATATATCATACGAAGATGTGAAGGATCGCTGTCTAACACCAATACCTGGATGGGCGAGATTGCGATCGTTGCAAATGGCAAGTCCCATGGGTCCAGTTACTTATCGTGACCCTACTCCATTGGAATGGCTTCCATTCGAACTTAAATTAGGCTATGTGAAGCAAGCTTCATATTAAAAATTGTTATTAACAGAGGTTTATGTATACAATCGATGAATTAGGTATTATAGAACTTTATTTTTTTATTATTTTAGAATTTAGCAGTAGCACTAGGTATGTTTAAACCATTTTATATAGCAACATATATATTTATATAAGCATCGTGGTCCTATGGTGTGCTTAGGGATATGTCAGAGTATTGCTGAATTACTCACCTGAATCTTGCGTTTTTTTTTTGATATACACAAAAAAATATTATAAATGGAAATATTATATAACCTCGTGAAATAAGTATTTTAATTTCTATAAATTTTTCTGAAAAATAAAAATATTCTTTTAACCAACCTTGATAATTTAACTAGCTTCTTTTTTAGTCATATTTATTATTTTTATTATAGTATAATTATTTATAATGCTTCCTCAGCCTAAACTAAGGAAAACTCCTTTCCTGCAATTTCGTGCAGGTAAAATGACTTACGTGAACAAAACTGTCCTTGCCGATAAACGTAAAGGGTACCTATCATTTATCGATGATGGAGCTGACATCATAGAATTGATATGGTCATCTGAAAGTTCAGATACTGATCTTTCTCTTCCTTTAAAAAAGGGAGAAGTTGAAGTGCAGTTTGTAGAGAAATGTACAACTGGAAGAGTTTTGCTTTTTAAGACTGGAAAAGGTACAAATCAAGGGCTACATTTCTTTTGGCTTCAGGATAAGTCAACTGAAAAAGATAGTAGCTACCTCGAAAATATTAAAGCAGCACTTACTCCAAAGAAAGATAGTTCGACGACGGCTCCGAGAACAATACAACTAGCTGAGTTACAGAAACTTATTTCATCTATTTCATCGAGCAGTAATGATATTTCGCTTAGAAAATTAATGCACTCAACAAAAATTACCGAAGCTCTCCTAGAGGAACCAGACTTTTACTATGACCGTATAAAAGGTCATCTTTCTGAAAATGAAATTTGGAATCCAAAAGATATTACAAAGGAGCTTAAAAATCCTCATATTACTAGGGCATTAGACGTTATTGAGACAGCCCTTAAGGATCCTCAAGCCTACAGGGCGCTGTGCCGCGAAAATAATTTACCAGTGTGCGGCACTGGTGTTATTGGATTTCTGTATGCGATTGTCAATTCAATGAGGAAACCAACCTAGAAAAAAATAAAAGTGGAAAATCTATTCATTGATTTATTAATAATAATAATCATGAAAACCAACAAAGCGCAATATATTTATTTATGAGTTTACAAATAATAAAGTTTCATTCAATCAACCAAGTTACCCTTTCGTATATTATCATTATTAAAAAAAAATAATACTAAAAATGTTAGTATAATAATAGTAATAATAATTATTATTATTATTATGTTTATTAGGTTTAACTTCCATTACATTATCTGCACACTTTTTTACTTCAAACAAAGATGAGGAAATGCTGTAAATTCCAACAAGGAATTATTCCAGAATTGCATCGATATGCACAATCAACTTTTCATGAGGGCACACATCGGCAATCTCCAGGTGACTCAACACCTTGGCGAGATAGTTCTTCTCCGATTAACAGGCTTCGAGCATGGTGGTTAGCACCTATGGCTAAAGGTAGCATTATTGCTGCTTGGAGTATTACACTTGCATTTGGTACATATTGTTTCAGCATACAAGAGGATGCAAAAGGTACATATTTACTTAATAATGTACTTTTGCGCAGTTTGCATGATGAAATTAAGCGAGCAGACGCAAATCAACAAAGAGTATCCGAGCTTGAAGAAACAATGAAGCAATATCTTGAGGAAAACGAAGAAAATGAAAAATCATCAAAACTAAATAAAATCAAGGCGTCTAATGAGAAAGGGACTACAGGTTTGATTAATTATGAACTTCAACTTTCAAGGGAAAAATATCGAGGCGATCAGATTCATGCGCGTAATCAGCATTTGGTTGAGGAGATTGCAAAATTACGACAGGAGATGTTGAAATCAAATGAAGAAACTAATTTATTGCTTCAAGAAATTAGTAAGCTGAAGAAATTTACTGAAAGACTAAGTCAATAACTATAAAGATCTGAATTGTTTTAACTTTTTAGCCTCATTTAGTTGCTGCTTGAATTTTTTTTGAGATTATGTCATATATCAATATTTACTATTTGGATATTCACAAATGTGTTTATTATATATTGAATCTGATGTGTATTTTTTTTTCTCTATATTTTCTTGCCCTGGTTTTAGAGTATATATATGTTGAATTTTTTTCTTATAATTTAGATGGTTAAATTCAATATATTTTAACTAAGTCCAAAAAATTAAAGGATGTCAGATTTTAGAAACGAGATACAACAACTCGCCAGGGCTTATCAGTACAGGCTTCATCCTTTTGCTCTAAAAAGACTTTCTGACTTCCTAAAAGAACTAGATTGTGATAGGGAGACTTCACGATCTCTTTTACGGGACCTTTTTGTCCTTCTGAAGAAAAAATGCATTCAGGACCGCTTTATTGACCAACTTAAAGTAGAATCGGTTATAAGCACACAGATGAATCTGATTAAAGGGGCAGTTGATAAAGTTACTACCTCATCGGTGCAAATAGTTCTACCTAATCACATACCAAGGCTAATAGTGGATGAAACTACTGGCCAAGTGAAGCCAATTCAAGGTGTTGTTGAAGGTAATAGACTCAGTGTATTAAGGCAACGTTATCTGATGGCTTATCATCGGTGCCTTCGAAGCGGCATTTACCGTACTGAGTTGAAGCAGCGTTTCGTGGGTGAAGAACTCTTGCCTTTAGTTCCTACAACGGCTTTGGAGGGAATCGCCCCTAATTTACAAATTGCCGTACTTGGACTGATTCGAAAACATGGACAGAATATTATTTTGGAGGATTTAAATAACCAGGTTGAGCTACATCGATTCCAGTGCAGCAATTTAAATCTTCACCATTTTATCTGCAGCGGTTTTTTTGTCGTTGTGATTGGTTTCTTCAACCATGGCCTATTGGTTAAGGGTATTAGCTTACCTCCCCCAGAGAGGCGTGGGTTGACTCGTGCGCTTTTCCCACCGTCAGTCGATTATTTTGGGCTTGCACCGTCAAATTTGGATCATGCTATCGCATTGGAGAAGTCTTCATGCCGCTCTGTGATTCTCTTTCTCGCTCATGTATTTTTAGATAGGCCAACAACTATGACGCAGCTTGTCTATTTTTTTGAAAAAATGCAAGAGCGTGGGGAACAAGATCTTTTAGAAACCACGTTTGTCTTTATCGGTAATTTCACCTCAACACCTCTCTCTTACGGGGATGTTTCTCATTTGTTTAATGCAACCAATGGTGAGGAAACTTTTCAGCATTTGCTTGAGAATTTAGCAACTTGCATTGTTTCTTCCGCGCCCACAGCAGCACAGCACAGCCAGTTTGTTTTTATTCCTGGTCCTACCGACTTGACCGCGCTTCAGGGATTTTTGCCCCAACACCCTCTTACTAAAAGCGCCACCAAAGGGTTAAGAAGCAAGTTGAAAAAAGTTATTCTAGCACCTAACCCATGTCGTATTCGTTTTTTCACACATGAAATAATTCTCTCGCGGAGGGACTACCTTCGCGTATTTCATGATGGTGAGCGATGCTTTGATTGGGAGAAGTATCGCCATAATGTAGGAAACGACGACGCGGAACTCCAGGCTACTTCATTCGAACGAATTTCCAAAACCCTAATTGATGAAGGGCACTTGGCGCCCAGCTTGGAGGAATCAGTGCTGTGGAAACTTGATGACGCTTTAAGACTGCCTGTTCTTCCGCATACACTTATTTTATGTGATTCAACCATGGAATGGGAGTGCTATTACAAGGACGTTCACGTTGTTAATCCCGGCTCTTTTTCGGTGAACACTACCTTCTTGTGGTATACCCCTACCGACGGTGAGTGCATTCTGAGTAATCTGAAGTGAAAATTTCAAAACTGAAGCTAAAGTCTTCTAATTTATTAAAGAAAAATTCATACAGTCACATTGTAAATAAACATAGAACGCACTTTTAATGAAAAAGGTTATAGAACTTATCACACTTGCCTTGCACTGTAAGGAAACAGTTCAATAGTTCAATTCTACGTGCGTTAACAGAATACAGCGAGTATTTTTCTTCCCTTTTGGAAATTTCCGATGAATCTCTTAACTCATTGACTTTTCCTTTCATTCATTCTCTTCAGACTAGTTAGCATCTAATGAAACGTTCCCGTGCCGTCTACGAAGATTCCGCCGGTGAACGAGCCATAAAAGTAGAAAAATTTATCCGAAATTTGCACTTTTCCGTTCCGTTATACCGTTTACGCCAACAAAGTGAGCGCCGTCCATGCCCGAAGTGCCAGAAACGCCGTTTCTACTACTGCTATGACTGTCTAACGGTAACGCATCCGGAAAGCCATCCACCTCCCCTTTCTCTTCCTCTAAATGTCTACGCCATCTTACACGCCGGGGAGCTGCGTTCAAAGAGTACCAGCGTTGCCGCATCCACCATTTCGCCGGATTTGCATATTATTGAGTACCCGGAGATCCCAACGAATCTTAAACCGGAAAACACTTTAGTCCTCTACCCCAGTAGCGATAGTGTCGAGTTCGAGGCAGTTGAATGCTTAGAAAAGTACACAAACGTCATCTTCGTGGAAAGCACTTGGCAGAAGAGTAAATCAATTGCTCATGACAGTCGACTGAAAAATTTTAAGCGCGTTCGGATAAAAGAACAGTCTTCTTTATTTTGGCGTTTTCAAAATAACGATCCAACTTATCTAGCAACCGTCGAGGCGATCTATTACACCCTTCGTGAATATGTGATTCATACGAACAAAGTAAAAGCGGCAAAATCAAAATTCGGCGACTCTAAGGTGTGTGATGATGAAAGTTATTACTCGGGTGAGGTTGACGATATTTTGTTTTACTACATCAATCAGTACATCGGAGTACAACAGCGATACTCTGGGAATTCCCCACTGAAATACACAGATCGCCATTTTGAAGGATACATTCTCGAGAAGGCTAGTTGGGATACACTAATTGCTCCCCCAGAGACTAAATCCACTTATTGAGATCAGATCAGATCTTTCTTCTTCTCACTGTCGGGTAAACATTAATCCTTTATGAGTTTGAGGCCCAATGCCAAGACACCTTTTGAGTGACACGATTAAGACGATACAATTCCTTTATTATTATTATTATTTATTTATTGTTACCTTTTCTTTCTTTGTTTTTCACAAGAAAGTATTAAAGACATCTAGGCTGAGCCCCCGTCACTCCCAAACTTCCATGCCCCCCAAAACCGCTGTTAAAAGGGGGAATAAACCCAAACCAAAGGACACGCCTGCGGCCTCCTTAAACCGGGCCTCTTCCCTGAAGTCCACAAAGGCGGACGAAGTGGGCGATGAGGCTCAGATGAATGGACAGGAAATATGGCTCGCGACAGATGCCCTGCAAAAAACCAAAGCGATGCGGAACTACTTCCAGCTGGAGCGGGATCGCATCTCGGCATTCTGGGATATATCCAAAAAACAGCTCGATGGGGTCAAGGAGAACCTTCGACAGAAGAATCAGGAAAAGCTCATGATGGTGGATCGACATGAGGTTGAAAAAAAGATCTTTGAGCAAAAGATACGACATTTGCTGTACGAAAATCAACTTCAATTATCCTCCTCCCAAGAAGAGGCTGAGCGCGCGTTGGTCGAAAAGCAGGAAGAGTACCGCCAAATCGAAAGTAATGCGATGAGAGATGTACGGGACGTGAAGCTCCTCAATCGGGAAATGGAGGTCCGTCAAATGGAGCAGCGAATGACGTTGGCGGCTCAACAAGATAAAGATATCGCGGAGCAGCAAGCGAGATTCGAGCGTGAGTCAAAAAAAGCGCATCTGAAATACGAACAAATGCTTAAATTCCTTCGAGAGGAAATGGATCACGCGAGGATCGAGGAAATTCGTCAATTAGAAAATCGGAAGGAATTGCACGTTGCCGAGCTATGCGAGATGCACGATCGAACGTTCAAGGAGGTTAAGGACTACTTCCGAGAGATTACCTCCAATAATTTAGAAACCATCCGTGCACTGAAGGATGAGGTGTTTGCTCGGAAGCGAACAGAAGCGCATAACGAAAAGGCAATGCATGAGGTCGCTCATCGGAATAAAAAGCTGACGGTGCCTTTTGTTGAGCTACAGCGTCGAAAGAAAGAGCTGGAGGCTGTGCTGGTGAACTACAACGAAGATAAGGAAAAATTGCTGATTCTGAAATCGAAAGCGAAGGAAACGGACCAAGAGTACCAGAAACTTTCTTGGGAGAACGAGGTTCTCGGCCAGCGGTATGCAAAGCTCGTCGAGGACCGAGATATTATTCTCAATAAATACAATCAGATGCTTCAGGATATTCAGAAGAAGTCAACGTTCCGCCGGGTTTTGTTGCAGAAGAAATTAGAAGTTGTGCAATCTCAGCTGGAGGGCCGAGATGCAAAGCTTACTGACCTTTTGAAGAGGGCCAACTTGAGTGAGGAAGATATCCGTAGACTTGGGGAAAAAGTCCACGACCTGGTATCTGAAAAGGAAAAAGCCATAGAAAACCTTGAGCAGCTCTTAATGCGCATGGCGGAGCGCTACGAGGATATCCGGTGTAACTATGAGTCTTACTTAGAGAATAATGCCACTTCTATAAGGGCATGATATTAGTTGTATCATTTGAATAAGTACATTGGATGGGATATGATATTGATTATTGGGATGTAAATTTACTGATGACTATATAGGCACATCTTTTTCTCCTTTCTAATGAACAAAATTCTATACTTCAATGGCGTTTTCAGGTTATATTTTGAATTCTTGTGGTGTATTTATATTTTCTATTTCATTTTTATTTTCTATGGACGATTGAAAAGTGTTAAATAGGACGGAAGGAAGAGCAACTACAATAAACTCCTACTTTCCTCATACTGTGGCGATGGGTGTTTATGATTTAGTAATGAGGAAAAAAGAGCGACTTAAGGCCGCTCATCCTGTGAAGAAAGACGAATCCTCCGAGGAGGAGGCGTCCATCGATTTAGAACAGGAGGATGGATCAGAGGCCTCAGAATCCAACAAATCTAGACCTGCCTCCGTGGAAGAGTCTGTTGATGGTGCTTCAAAGGAGGAGAAGCCGATGAGTGTCGAGATTAATGAGCCTTCGAAATGGGTAGAACGTATGGCACTTACTTCGACCCGTGCTTTGCCATCGGATCTGAATGCCGATGATGATCCCAAGCGAGAGGAGGCGTTTATTCAGCAGACCCTTCTTTCGGTTATGCAGGGTATCTCCCTGTTGGAGCGCGCCGAGGTTCCCTGGAAGCGCCCGGATGATTATTACGCAGAAATGTACAAAGATGATGTCCACATGAATAACGTGCGCCGCGCGATGGAAGCGACTAAGGCCCGCATTGAGGCCCAAGCCCACCGGCGTGCGATGAAGGACCAGAAGAAGTACGGGAAGGAAATCCAGGCAGAAGTGCTTCGTCAGCGAGCGAAGCATAAGCGGGATATGCAGGAGCGGTTAAGTAGCTGGAAGAAGAAAAGAGGAGGCGATGAGGCCATGCGCGATATTTTAAATAACGATGAGGATGGTGAAGGTCCTTCTAAGCGCCGCAAGAATGAGCCGCGTCGGCCAAATTTAAAGCCTGGCGGGAAGAGCAAAAGACCTGGAAAGAATGCGCGCCACCGTCGCTGATGAGGATGTCCCTAATATTTTAATTTATTTTTCCACATTTCTAAACACGTATATGCGTATAAACTGACGGGGGTAGTAATATTAAAAAAAGTAATTTCATACGATTAAAAGGGATTTGTGGAATTCCTTTTTCTAACAACTAAGTGGAGTTGAATAACTTTATATTATCCAAAGGGAAAAACTAAGGGATTGTGAGATTATTCTTTTCTTCATCTCTACACTATTTAAAATTATGATATAATCTTCCTTGATATTCTAATGTTTAAAAGTGAAATTCAATAAAACATTATTAGTTTTGTAGTTTCTAGGAAATTAAAGGAAAAACAACAACATCCATAAATAATTTTATGAAAATGCCAACTGAATCATGCAGGTGGTATCCGGATTCGGTTATTCACTATGTACCGGGAGAAAGCTACCGCTATGCACGTGGAAAGTACCGAAACCCATATGATCTCGCCACAAAGGATGCCGAGATCACATCTTGTACTCGTGTAGATAGAAAAATTTCACAAGTGGTTGCGGTTTTGAATTATATCCATCCAAAGTTTCGCGGTCTAGTCAAGGGTGTTAAGTGTGATTTTGTTCTTCGTTCTTCAATCACACAGCTTGGTGTGAACGCCGATAATGTCAAGATTTCGATCGACCGCACCAAAAATATTGCAACCATCACACTTGATCTTGTTGCCATCTCCCCGCTCGCGGTGCTCACACTTGACCATATCGCAGTCGGCGCGTTCATTGGTAAGATTTTTGCGATTGAGAGAAATCGTGTTGTAAGCAACCCGGAGTACATCACCCGATTGTTGGAATCATTCAATCCGGAAGGCCAACGCTTATTGATGTATGGCCAAAATGATCAACTGGATTGGGATCTCAAAATTATCGATAATCGTGTCATCGCGTTTCTGCCTGTCCTCCCCGGTGTCTTTACCTTCACTGGGGAGATACACGATCTTTTGCCCACCATTGGCGTGGCGCTGAAGAAAGGTGTGCCCTACAAAGATCTTATTCGCCTCCACCAGCAGTTTAACGATGACCACACGCGGGTTTGCACGACTGGTTCCGTTCTCAAAGTACGAGGCTACGCCATGCATTTCAGAACCTTATTTGGCTACGTTGTGGACGAATATCTGCCGCCGGGGCTGCACTCCATGGGATCTCGCGTTATCGAGCCGGAGGATCGCTATGCTTATCATCATCTGCGGGACCGGACTTTTGTCTTTTATGGTGACTCCACCACGGAGCTCACGCACATTCCCATTGAGTTTTACACTCTGGAGTCTTACCGGGAGCAGGTTCCTTTTGCCTTGCGGAAAACACTCGCCACTCGCTGTGCAAACCCGGCTGATATTCTGCACGTCTTTAAAAAAGCCCCCAAAGGCAATCAGCCCTGCTGCGCATATCTCTGTAAAGGGGGCCAGTTCTATGAGATGACCAAAGACGATTGGATTGTTTCTGATCCGAAGAAGACGACGTATGCGGAGTGGTTTAATCCTGACGAGCAGCGACGACTTGTAAAGCATTATATCTATCAGCAGCCGGAATATTCCATTCTTTCTGCCATCGCCAGTGATGACATCACCAGTGATGGGGTTCTCGCTACGCGGTATTTCCCCTCCCCGTGCCTTAAATCCCTTATCCTCTCGAGTGCCGTGTGTAATAAACTACGGGCGATATTTTTCTGCAAGCCCTCTCGGCAGTACGGAGATTTTTTCAGCCAAGAGGATGTCGCCCTTTTGGGTGACTTTACCACATTCGGCATCTCTGTTTTCAACGTTAATGAGTCCAGTGGCGAGGTCTATCAATATATTCGTCGACCTGAGCGTAATACCGGCCAGTTTGTGCCGCTGGAACGCCGCCACGAGTACTTGAATTCTACGATGTTCGGGGTATATGGTTCTAACTTAATCGCTGGAGACTTTGAAGCCGAACTAATATATCTCCTCAATGGTATCCTACAAATCAAGAAGACCTGCAAGCACCCGCTTTTAAATCCCACGAAGCCATTGTCACTTGTGACAGGAGGAGGTCCTGGTGCAATGGAAGTTGGAAATCACGTAGCGAAGTCTCTTGGCATCTTGTCGTGTGGTTTAATTGTTGATTTTCGCAGCGCAGCATCTGTCCCGGGGTCTAATATTAATGAGCAAAGACAAAACCCATATGTCGAATCCTTTTTCGCTTATCGGTGCAATAATTTAGTAGAACGACAATCGGATTTTAACTTAGATTTCCCCATTTTCTTGATTGGTGGTATCGGTACCGATTTTGAGTACGCCTTAGAAGAAGTGAATCGCAAAGTGGGTGCGGTTTCTCCTACCCCTATTATTTTATTCGGAGCTGTCGAATACTGGACCAGCAAGATATCCTATCGCTACCATGAGAACTGCCGTAAGCGTACTATAAAAGGTTCGGAATGGCTATCGACGATTCCGTGGGTTGTATCGACTGGGAAAGAGGCGCTGGAAGTGTATAGAGACTTTTTTGATGGCGTCTTACCGATCGGTGCAGGCCATCCCGTCAATGAGCGCGGTTTTATGATCGCACGAGATTATTTGTTATCCCGAAAATAAGATATATTACTCTAAAGCTGTATACCATTGTTTTGTTCTCAATATTAACATACTGTAAATGATGTAATCAAGAGTATTTTATTATAGCGAAAAAAAATACTAATTAATTTTATATAGTCTAAATATAATTTTAGTGTTTTTTTTCTTCAATTTTTAATAGCCACTTTCGATTTGATATGTTTTTCTTTCCTATAACATATCAAATTTATTTTCCATTTTTCCTTTTAATTTCTACTTTTTATATCTATATTTTTACATTTGCATTCAAATTGGAGAGTGTGTATGGCTATATGAAAAGACATTTTGAACATATTAATTAAGATATAGTTTTCTCATGTTGTTACTTAAAAGCAGAATAAAAATGGTTGTACACATGAAAATGTTAGTAATTTATCATTAATTACAATCTGAAATTTTCTCTTGAATATTGTTTCTACTGAAATATATATCCTCTTGAATTAATGAAACCTTAAAAATACTTGGATTTCTATATCCACGTAGTTATTGGCGT